ACCACTGCTCGGTCGTCTGGGATTCCTTAAACGGTTTTACCATCCGAGACACAGTTGTATGGGTGATTCCCAGTTGTCTTCCAATCCATCTCATGGTCGCAGTCGGATTTTCCATGACGGCGCGCAAAATTCTCCGGCGATTTTCTTCTTGATTCGATTTTCATCAATTTTTACCCACGGATAAAAAACTTATACACGGATAAAAATTGTGCTTTTTTTTCGAGTACAAGCCTTAGTACGTTCAGGCTACAGAGTTATAATATGTTATAACGGTTGTCAAATAGTTGCAACACAGAAACCACCCTCAAGATAGCGCTATAACATGTTATAACCATAGAGGTAACTCTAATAGTACGTTCAGACTACAGAGTTATTTTTTTTCCATTGTTTGTTTTTTCCGTCGATCTTGTTTTCCGTGCTGAGCACCAATGCTACCGACGTGCCAGGAAGGCAGCTCCCACACCTGAACCCTACCTATCGACCCATCAACTCATGAACCGGGGACCAACGGCTTTACTTCCCATCCGAAGGAAGGCGTGATCAGAGATGTTATGCCTCAGAACATCCCGGCGGCGCCGACTGGGATTGAACCCAGGCCTGCTGGGGTGAGAGGTAATCACGCTTACCACTACACCATCGGCGCCGTTACTACAGAGTTATAACAACAATCAATACGAAACTAACGATTTTAAATTGACTCACTACTTGACCAGCCTATTGGTCCCAAGCAAATCGACTAACATACCCCATTCTAGTATAAACTCCAGTACTACACTATGTTTGTTTTGATTCGCTATGAAAGATTGACGGATAAAATGAGGGGCTCGTGGATTTTCCTATGTTTCGAGGGGTGCATCGATTAGCATGGGACCGAAGATAGTACCAGAGCTGAGCCAAAAAGTTGAACACGTTTCATCGGAACTTTCTGGTCTTAGAGTTACCTCTATGGTTATAACATGTTATAGCGTTATCTTGATGGTGGTTTCTGTGTTGCAATTAGTTGACAACCGTTAAAACATGTTATAACTCTCCAGTCTGGACAGCGTTTAAGACTAGAAGCTCCCGAAATAACGTGCTCAACTTTTTGGCTCAGCTCTGGTACTCTCTTCGGTCCCAAGCTAATCGATTCACCCCTCGAAACATAGGAAAAACCAATAACCCCTCATTTTATCTGTCAAACTTTCATAGCGAATCAAAACAAACATTGCGTAGTACTAGAATTTCGACTAGAATGGGGTACGAAAATCGTTTGCTTGGGACCAATAGGCTAGTCAAATCACAAATGAAGTGACAGACGGAGCGGCTCGAAAACTTTGCTGACTAACCTGCTATTGCAATTTTTCAGTGTACCACATGGCAACACCACTACTACTGGATTGTACCACATGGCAACACCACTACTACTGGATTGTACCACATGGCAACACTACTACTGGATTGAACTAGCATTTTCACCAAATGTACTAGAATGTTTTGGTTCTATCTCTTTCACTCTACTCAAAAACTGAAATGCATAAAAAAATTACAAAATGATAAACTCTTTGCACACTGTCAAAGAATCATTGTACACAAAATCAACTTTCTGCAAAACCAAAACAAAAATACTATCCCATCTGGTGGATGATGGCACAAGCTTCTAAGAAAATTCTATTACAGCGAACCACATTATTTTAATTGATTTCTTCGCCAGTTAGTCGTCTGTTACTTCGTTTGTGGTCAAATAGTGAGCCAATTTAAAATCGTTAGTTTCCTATTGATTGTTGTTATAACTCTGTAGTCTGAACGTACTATAAAGTTATTATATTACTATATATATTACGCGAGAAAATGACCTTACAAGGTTTGTTTACAAAATAAAGTTGAGGCCATTTCAATTGTTGGTCCTGATATGGTCTTTTTCCCCATAAGAGAGTGACCCTCTTGCCCCGTAGCATTTTTAGAGCAGGTACAACATGACATTTTGAAAAAAAATCATTATCATTTTTTGATGTGGTTTAATTTTAATTTTCTTGATGGTTAGAAAGAACCGGAACAGCAAAGTTTAAAAGTAGAATGGATTTTATTTAACGACTAGCTTGAGTGGAGTCTTGAACAGGAATAAATAGTTTTTCACCGTTGTTTATTTAAGAAAACTTAGGTTGCTAGGGGTGACGTTCGGTCTCCAAGGAGGTGATCAGCACACTGCGTTACCGATTTACTCCAACAAATTTCAATAATGGTACATGGAGACAAGGTTATAAACTAACAATTCGCTTCACAAACTTCTATAAAAATTCACGGAATCGCATATAAAAACAAGCTATCGTTTGGGTGACCTTCTTGCCCCTAGTTCCCCTATAGTCATTTTCTTCTTCTTCAGGTTCGCTCACCACCCGGAATGAACGCTCAGTGCGGTTAGTAATATCAAATAGTGTTCCATGCAAACGAAAATGAGATACAACCATATATTAGTTTTTTAAAGTAATAGTTCCATCTGAATACCCAAATAACCATATCGTATCTCAGTGACATTGTCTCACTCTGAATCTACATTTAAAATTATTTTGTGATTATATGGTTGCTAGGGTACTCACATAAAATGTTGTGCAAGTACCACAAGTTCAACAACTATGGACAGCTCAATGCTATTGAATCAGCGAACACCAACATGATTATTAGACTGATGCAAAATTTGAAATTTTCACTCCACAGTGCTCAAACGGTTCCAAATTGGGCCCTGATTACCCTCCCAAAATTTGAACTCATTTAGTGAGAAATTGACTTGGCACAAACCATTTGAAGTTTATATGGGAATTACTATGGAGAAACCATAATTTCGGTTCATATCGATCTCAAAATTCACCAGTTCATTCTACTTTAAAAAATGATAGCTGCTTGTTAAAAATTGTTGAAGACCACTTTTCGGTAAAAATATTAAGGATTCATGTCACTGATTATGCTCAATCAATTGTTCAGCAGGCAACATTGGTGTTTATGGCGCGTAGAATAGAGGACAAAAATCATGGCTACTATGTCACACTGCAAAATACAGTGTTGCCCTCAATACAGTTGCTTAATCTTGCCATAAGATTATCAATCTCTTAAACAATTAATAACTATTTAGTTTGACGCTCGGCTGAAAAACGATTTTCTGCAAAGTTGTAGCTGTTAAAGATTCCCATAAGAATAGCAATAGAATTTGTTAACAGTACATATGTAAAAAGGCTAGAAGACAATGAACAAAAACTTTTGTTTTCCCATAGTAATTTCCATATAAACTTCAAATGGTTTGTGCCAAGTCACTAAATGAGTTCAAGTTGTGGGAGGCTAATCAGGGCCCAATTTGGAACCGTTTGAGCACTGTTGAGCGAAAATTTCAAATTTTGCATCATTCTAATAATCATGTTGGTGTTCGCTGATTTAATAGCATTGAGCTGTCCATAGTTGTTGAACTTGTGGTACTTGCACAACATTTTGTGTGAGTACCCTAGCAACCATATAATCACAAAATAATTTTAAATGTAGATTCAGAGTGAAACAATGTCACTGAGATACGATATGGTTATTTGGGTATTCAGTTGAAACTATTACTTTAAAAAACTAATCCTGGTTGTATCTCATTGCATCAGACTAATGATTATCTGCTAGGAACAAAAAAGAAAATAAATTCTCAAAATACTGTTTTAACTGTGCTATCAGTAATAAACAACCTGCTGTCCCATATTGGACCCTGCCAACCCACGGCGCCTGCACGGTAATTTGGGTCATCAGAATGGTTCATCGGTTGCGAAGTGAAGTACTTCTCAAACTGACGTGATACATTTCTCTATGTTTCAACTTTATCTTAACGTAAACTTCACATTATCACCCATATGCCCATCCACACCCGAAACCCATCCCCCACACAAAATTAAATAAAAAGTTTTCTGTATGGCAAACACGCCCGGACATAAACGAGAAATTGGGTAAACAGCTTCACTATCGCAACTACGGGTAATCATTAAAAGTACTTGCATTTTACTCAGGCACTGTTGAGCAAACTGCAATCACCTTCTCATACTCGAAATGTGTCACGACCAACCTGGCACAACGATGCCCTATACGCTCTCTGATCAAAGCGCAGGAGGTTGGAGCTTACCACCATGAGAAGCTAATTCTCTCAGTGTTGCTCGAATAGAAGATTTTTGGATTCAATTCAAAGTTTCTATAATGGACGATTTATTTAAAATTTTTTGATTAAATTCTTGAAAGTTGTTCTAAAAGATGTTTGTTCTGTCTCGAGTTACATTGTTTATAGTCATTATTCAGAACATTTATTTCACACTACCTTGTTTTTTTTCAATTGCTCAGAAACAAAAAAAAACAACTATATACTTCATAAAGTTTTTGTCCACCTTCTTTCGGTTTCCTATGATTTTTCTGCAGAATTTTCCTGGAAGTATATTTCAACTACTACTGGATGTTTCTTCTGTTTTTTTTCCGGAAGGTTCTTCCAATATTTTTCGGAAGTATCTTTCAAATTTCCGCGGAAGCTAGTTCCATTTTCCTTAGTTTTTTTCTCAATTTTTGAAGCTTCTAGCTTTTCCAGGAAGTGTTTTCTGAAACCTTCTAGAAGTATTTCTGACTTTCTCCGGAATTGTCTTCTGAATTGCACTGGAAGATTCTTTTGAATTCTGCTAGAAGTTCCTTCCAGCTCTTACCAGCAGTAGGGAATAGGTGAATTAGTATAAAAAATGATCTATGTTATTTCTCCATGCTTGTTCCGATTACATAAAACTTTGGTTCATAATAAATTGACTTGATTGACTGAATTTAAGCTAATTTGTGACGCAATGAATTTCGGACCAAACGAAAACTATCAAAGTCAATCGAGGGCTGTTCATAAACGACGTAGACCCTTTTTGAGAGGTTTGAGACCCCCTTCACCACGTGGACATTCGTCCATATTTTTAATACCCTCCCCCCCTCTTACGTATACGTAGTTTATAAACAGCCCCTCATAACACTGTTCTTATACCAATTATAAAAAATACTTTATATTATTCAATGCACGTTATTCATATACATACAGTAGGATGTGTATTATATCTTGCCTATAAACTTGCCCATCTTTCCTCGAATAGATACCTACGTACCTTATGTTATAGTCGTAAACTTCGTAAGGGTCAACAGCTAGCGAAATCATCCTATTCCGTTCCGTTTGGTAACACATTCAGATCACTTTGCAAAAATCACCCCCCGGGACAGCCTAGAACTGAGCCCCGCAGTTGGTGCAACGACGATTTTTCATAGCCAAACAGCATAGGATTCCAACCGGGAAGCAGAATATTGCGCAGCAAATGCCGCAGCAAGTATAGTCATCTTCCAGCATTCCGATCCGACATGCCGGGCATCCACCGACCACTATTATCTCCTGCGGAATGACCACAGTCGTTGTCGTAGTCCCTGGGAACGCTCCCGGAGCAGAGGGACCACCGGGTGGAACCACAATCGGAAGTGGTACTTTCGCACCCGCTGAATCCATGGAGCCATAGTTTGGAGTCGTTTGAGACGGAGGTGGTACATTGGGGTATGGATAGTACTGTTGCTGCGGATAAGGAGCCGACGGGGCCACCGTTATCACTGCCGCCGATGTATCTGGATGAGTGAAATGAATAATTGATTTAAATTGATAATTATGATAAAATGATGGAGTGAGTCATCAGTTCCAGGAACAAAGAGCAAATAATTTACAAACCCACCTTGCCCCATTTGTTGGGTGCTCTCGGCCATCACTTCTGCGTAGCTGGGAGGAAGCTTCGAATCGCCCATGGTACTGTGTTCTATGGCAATTTTTTCACGAGAGCGTATGTGTTAAACCCAATGTTTAAACTAGAAATTCGACCTGATTTCTAAAGAATCTGGTAAAAAAATGCTTATTGGTAAACAAAACAAAAATTACAGTGAAGTTAGAAAAAAAATAAACCCCTAGCAGTGACAAATACGTTGTACTAAATTGCACTCCAAAATTATTTGAGCAACAATAGAAAAGGGCCCATCAGCATTTGTAAACAAACCGTTCTGAAGCCCATTGCGACCAACCATTCGTGAAGCTTCTTCAAAATTCTTTATACAAACATAATGATTTATGTCGCTAATTCTTTCCTTTTAAGTTTCTTTGATTTCGATGAATGTATTTAAAAATCTTTATTGATCGATGCTTACATTTAAGATAACTTCCCGCATAAAAATAACCATTTCTAGAACAGTTTAAACTTCACTGACACCTTACTAGCTATGTTAACTTTATACAAAATAGTTTTGCTATGGTTTACGGAATGTAATCAACATAAAAGAAACACTACTTTCTACTGTTACTGTTTCTGGTATGTTTCAGCTACATTTTGTTAAAGTTGATCAACTATTCGAGACTATATTAAACTATTACAAAACATTACGAATAAAAGTTGAAAACAACTTGTACAACACTTACGTGTTTCGCTTATGGTTGCTTTATGTTTTTACATTTGGCACAAATAAAAGAAAACGCTTTTGTTTGGAACGGCGGTCGTGAGTACATTTGGTTGATTTTACTGAGTTATTGCATTTTTAAACCCTTACTCCAAATGGAAAACCTGTTTTAACCAGTTTTAACGTCGAGAAAAAATAATAACGTAAGTAATATCAGCTTACAGTATAAAGTATTCCTTAAAAACGCATGTATTTTCCACAAACATATTTAGGGTCTTTGACAATCCCAACCATAATGGCTAACAGCGGTCTACATGAGAAGGAGATTTTGAAAAAAGGAAATCGAAGCGGGTTCATTTTACCGGTGCACATTTATCAACTAGAAATAGAATGAAGGTTTGTTTTGCAGAGCGTAATCATTTGTTTATTCCATTTATCTTTAAATCAATAAAAAATAATACCGAGAGATGCCACAAAATGACGTCTTGCAAATAACATTAAAATTAAAGAACAACCCATATATGCTGTGTTCCGCATATGCTACAATAGTATTATAACATCAATAAGTATGGTAATTTCTACCCGTACATAGTATATCTTGAAGTTAACAACAATGGTTGATTTTAAGCTGTACTACCTTATTCGAACGATAATAGGAATAGGATTTACATATCCAACTAGAACCTTTTCTGATGTGGTTAGGCTATAGTTCCTTTGCAAAAAATGTATGGGAAAAAGTAAGATTTCGTATGGTGAACGTTCTTAACCACCCATTGTTCGTATGGTTGGGTCTTCGAAAACCTTAAGCAATATGGTCAAAACTTCTCTAGGTATGGTTCGATTAAAGTTGGCTGAACCATTTTTATTATGGTTTTCACAGGAAGATAAACCATTTTCAACATGGTAATCGTATGGTTGTGATTTATGCGGATTTATGGTTGTGATTTATCGGTCGCATGATAGTAATCTAAAGGAGCCATACTAAAGTTTGTTTAATTTCGATATGTCACAAGGTCTTAAGTTTTCGTTATAAACATGCAAGACTCGAGTGATTTTAATTTAGTTGATCTAATATTTCGCTTTCGATTTCGCTCTCACCGTTCCCACCTTGGTATGTATCCAATAGTATATATCACTTGGTTTCAATGACACTTCTTCTGGTGTTTACTTTTGTCTCCTTTGTTCTACTGCTTCCAGCTGGTTATGTTTACATAACGAAAACATGTTTACATGACAAAACCAGCTGGTTAAATCAGGGGAGAGATGTGCTCGAGCATTTGAAGAAGATTCTAGTGTTTTGTTTATCTAAAAACATTAGTAAAACATCTACATTTGAAAACATTCAAACAACGTTTACTTTAAACGTTTTGTACATCTGAAAATATCAGAGAACAACAAACACAAAGTACAATTGAAAACAGCCGAACAGCGTTTAGTTCTAACGTTGTGTACATCCGAAAACATCCAAAAAACGTTTGGTTAGCATCGGGAAACATCTACGTTAAACGCTGTACAGACTGGAGAGTTATAACATGTTATAACGGTTGTCAAATAATTGCAACACAGAAACCACCATCAAGATAGCGTTATAACATGTTATAACTCTGTAGTCTGAACGTACTATTATCACAAACAAAGTTACAGACGACTTTCTCCGAAGAAATTAATTAAAATAAGGTGGTTCTCTGTAATAGAATTTTAGACCACTTTCCGCCGCTCACCGCCAGGTTCGCTAGTATTTTTAATTTGAATTAATTCAAGTTGGTTTTATGTGCAATGATCTGGCAACTCGCGTTCTCACTCGCGTTGACGGGGTGCTGTTTTCTCACTCATCGAAGGAAATTTTGATTAGAGTGAGAAAGTAAGGAACAGTCAGCGCGGGAACCGTGTGCGGTACTATAGGTGCGGCAGAAAGAATGTAGTCGACTCCTTCGTTCTCACGGTGTTCTTACGCATGATCCAACGTTACGTCACACTAGATTATGCATAAGAACGTCGTGATAATGAAAGAGCAAAGTTTGTATGTTTGGGAGCCTCTCGCATTCAACTCGCATTCGTCCTCGAGTTCGTGTGGAAGCCATTCAGAGCGGAGGTGGCCAGGAGCGTGGCATTCGAAGTGGAACCGTTCCGACTCCACTGGTCGTTAGATTGGGGGAAGCCTGTGAAATCGCTAGCCGTGAAATGGAGTACGATCACAAATGGATGGAGTTCCTCTCGAAACGCCTGATGGACCAAATCTTCGCATCGCTACCGAAAGTCATCCGCAATGGCGATCCAGTTCATTCTTATCCCGGATGTATCAATCTGTCGTTTGCATACGTTGAGGGTGAATCGCTGTTGATGGCGCTGAAAGACGTTGCCCTCTCGAGTGGGTCGGCTTGCACTTCGGCTTCGCTGGAACCGTCGTATGTGCTGCGTGCGATTGGTGCCGACGAAGATCTGGCTCACAGCTCGATTCGCTTTGGCATCGGACGGTTTACCACCATCGAGGAAATCGACTACATAGCTGAAAAGTGCATCAAGCACGTGACTCTACTCCGAGAGATGTCCCCGCTGTGGGAGATGGTCCAGGAAGGTATCGACATCAAGTCGATCCAGTGGTCGCAGCATTAGAGCGGACGGGTCGGGGCATATTTTAAAGAGAGATTTGATTTTGTATGTTCTGCTGTGTATGGTTGAATTCAGTGAGGGTTTTTTTTTTGAATTGTTAATCATTGATTGTGTTATTAACACATCCACTTTTGGTAGTAAGTAGGTATTGAGACGAGAGAAAAATAATGTATAGCTTTGCTACATATGCTATTAGAGACAGCAATAAATCTTAGACAGTGAAATCATTGTGAGTATTTCACCATTCACTTGGCGAAAAAACTTCCTATCAGCGATTGTTTGAAATAGTATAAACTTTGTTAGTTCCCGTCAAGGACGGCGTTGTTACGACTACGCTAAATTCGCAAATCTGAGGTATTCGTGGACTGCCATCTCAGATTTGCTTTGGCGCGGATTAGTTCCACTTAGGGTTAATTCAACTAAGTTTCGATTCTAATTATTTGAAGACTCCAGGAAAATCTACGTTTAGAAAGACCTTCTATTATTTAATAAAGAAGTAAAGCAGTAAAGTTTTTAATAGTTGGTTGGGCAAGCTAAAATATCATTTAAAAAAATGTGTTCAATGTCGATAAGCTTTCCGCAAAATCCGCACTTCAAAAGCTATAAAACCGCACAAAATTTGCGACACTTGTAACAGCCCTGCAGTTGGCTTCGGCGTGCCAGAGAATACCTAATCCACCTAACCGGACCTGAAGAAACGGAAAGGAGCGCGACTGGGATTAGACGGGCTAGCCTTATGAAGCTCTCTACTGACATACAATATAGCATGGTTGCAGCAACCTTATATTTCACCTATTTGTCCCTAAAGATCACTAATTTACACCCGACACCCTAGGTAGGATAATGTCATCGCAAATAACAACAATTCCCGTTGAATACATAGTGCGAAAAATGCTCTTTACTTACCCCAAACCGTCTCATCACAACCTACGCCTCGGTCAGCGTGGCCCGACCGTTCGGCATCTTTTTATTGGTGGAATCCTCGAGCTCCTTCGGTTTGTAGTAATGCGGTGCCGCCTCCAGCAGCCACTTGCTTTCGATTTCAATCACCGACCGCATGTACTCCTTCGTCGTAAACACCAGCTCGTGGTACAGCACCCAACGAGGCAGTTCTTCGAACAGTGCCGAATTCGGATGGATCATCACCGTCTGATTGTGCTTGGCCGTTTTGTAGTGACCCCCCTTGGAGAGCCGAGCGACGTGATAAAAGTACCCGGCTGTAATAGCCTTCCGGATGTTGGTCGTTTCCGGCAGACTGGAAACCATTTCGATTTCGACTCGCTGCATTAACCCAACCAGCTGCTCCCGGACATCGCGAGCTCGTTTCATCGAACGGAACTGAATGAAATTTTCGTAACACCACTGAGTGCTGTAGTCCGATTCGGCCCATTGGTTGTAGACCTGCAGCAAACTCAAGTGGTCCCCGTGCATGTGGTTGAAGTTCTTCCGGGCCGTATCTGCGTGGATGATTTTATCTTTCGGTCGGTAGAAGATGGCTCCATTCACCGATAGCATTGCAGCGATGGCCACCACCTCCTCGGAACATTTGTACTTTTCACTAGAAAGCAGCATTTTTGCCATCATGGGATCGACCGGAAATTCCGCCATCCGTCGTCCAAGTTTGGTCAGTTCACCGTGGTGATTCAATGCCCCTAGGGCGTAAAGTTGCTCCAATGCCAAAACCATCGTTTCATGTGGTGGAGGATCGAGGAAATCGAAATGAAGCAAATCGTTGATTCCAAAAGCTTTGAGCATTAGCACGACATTGCCCAGGTTTATGCGCTGAATTTCCGGGACGGTGTTGTCTTCCAGCTCGTGTTTGTATGCCCAGGCTGCGTACAGACGAAAGCACTTGCCAGGGGCAACGCGCCCTGCTCGACCTGCACGTTGATTGGCAGACGCTTTCGAAATGGGCACGACCATCAGGGTCTCCATCCCGGTTCTGGAGTTAAAATTATTTTGCTTTGCAAAGCCCGGATCGATCACGTACATTATGTTATCGATGGTTAGTGATGTCTCGGCGATGTTGGTGGCCAGTACGACTTTCCGGGCGTTCGGTGGAGTTGGATCGAAAATTTTCGCCTGCATGTCCGACGGCAGATTGGCATAAATGGGAAGGATGAGTAGTTCCTTGAGTTTGGAACCCAACCGCTTGACGCGACCCTGGATCCGAAGAAGTCAACGATTTGATACGACCGGTTTGGCTCGAAGCAATTTTTCGACGGAAGTTCCTCGAAGTTTTCGACGGAAGTTCCTCGTGGCAGTGGAATATAAATGCCACGCTGCTGCATCTGCTGACTAAAGTCGTCCTTGTTGTTGCACAAAAGGCACTTGAAAAAGTACCCCGCCGATTGGGCAAACTGTGCCATGCAGCTTTTTATTGTACATTTCTCATATACCATGATTTTCGTTGTGATTTTATGGAAGGGGCATAGTGAATTTTATGAGAGGGGCATAGTGAACAAGTGGGGCATAATGAGCATCCCATGCCTCAGCTTGGTCTTCCGGCCGTTCGGAACAAATTGGTTGGTGGTAGCCTTATACATTTTATTAATAATCAGCAATGGAAATTTGCCAAAAGGTATAAGGGGATTTTTATCAGTGCTGGCATCGGTAGCATTGGTGCTCAGTACGGAAAACCAGATCGACGAAAAACAAATCAAAGGAAAAAAAAAGAAATGAGATTAACAGAACTTTATCTGTACAAGTTCAGAAAAAGTTTCATATTTTTGAATTTCCTGCAGAGTTTTAAACTTTTTTCGAACAGTCCGCAATTCAAAAACCCAGTAAAACATTACTGACTGGATTAATGTGTATATGTTATGTGCAGCTTAACTGCTGTAATATTCAACAACTTTTTTTTACTGTTTCCCTAATAAAAAACTACCATACATGAACGAAAACCCAAATAATAAAACTATTCAACAAATGGTTTGGATGATACCCCGAACACGTCGTTAAGCAAAATAACCATAACAATTTTATTAGGGTTGGTTTTAAATTTCAGATTGAATTCCAATTTCCCATTTGCTTCGACGTAAAAACTTGCCGCAGCTTGTTAACCGAGCTTGTGCTGCATAGGTGGAAGAGATTACTCCGTTGAAAACTTCATCTGCATGATAACTGGAAAGTTTGATAACTGGTACTTGTCGATGACGATGATCTCGTCTAATCAACCAATTCGACAGGGACATCCACTACCCGCACCCGTACCGGAAAATGTTTGGAATGATGAATAAGAAGAGGCTGAGCAGTCGAGGCAGCAAGAGACAAAAGCGTGACATCAAATCGTATGTCCCGATCGATTCGTACAGAAGTTTCAATGCGCCGCCTGTTCGGAAAGGATTCCCCGTGACATGAGCGAGCGTCACTACGCGAAGTATGCCGGCCATACCTATCGGGTTGATATCGATCCAGTGATCGATCTGTACGACGAAACTACTGCCACGGCGATTGTAATCCGCTCCATGGAAGTGCAGCGGCAAGTGACGATCTACTGCGACAAATGCAACGTGCCTAAGAAATCGGCTTTCAGATTAGTATTCCACCGGTTGGTTTGGCAAACACGACCAGTACTCGCACTGTCTGGTTCTGCAGAATAATAAGAAGAAGCTGGAGCAGACAAAACTGATATCCGGCAGCTTGGGTGGATCCTTCCAGTTCCGCTACGGAGGAGTGAATGTATACCAGCATACCGAGTATGGCCGGGTTCTGTTTGGCGTCCAACAACGATGTCTATGTCTTCTCGGTCGCGAATGACTGTGACTTAGGCTTCTAGCACGGACTGAAGAAATCTGTAGCAACAATTGCAACAAGCGCGAGTCATTGACAGCTCAACATCGTTTACTTGTAAGCAAATGTTAACCCGATGTGTTCATCCCTAATCATTTTGGCCTATGGTCTTTCATTATACAAAAGAAGCGATATAATGACATGCTGTTTGACAACAGGCTCTCCCTTTCAATTTTCGTTAGAGAAAAAGAGATAACAGGCGGTACCCCCTAGTTTAATCTAGTACATATGAGTAGATAGTGTTGCCGTGAGGTACACTCGAAAATTGTAAATGTAAGTGCGTCAAATCAAATTTCGAGCCGCTCCGTCTGTCACTTCGTTTGTGCTTATACATTCCATAAGACAAACCGCATAGGTCCTATAAGAATGCATAATGGGTATGTGTGACCGCTTATATATTTTATTTGACACATGATCTTCATTAACTTTTTGCAAGGCGTCTGCTTATTAGTTGACTTATACATTTTATGAATAATCAGCAATATAAATTTGTCAAAAGGTATAAGGAGATTTCTATCCGTGTAGCGTTATGGTAGAGGTTGGTCAATGAGGTACAGAGAGAGGTGACGCAGATCGTGAAATAGGGTTGTATTAGTAAACCAAAAAATCAACGTAAACGCAAGTAGTGACGTCACTACTTGCGTGTACTTGCGTGTATCGTACAGTGGTTGTGTGAGTGATTGCTTCACCTCGGTAATCCAGCTCATTGGAGGTTGGTAAATTTGTCTTATTTAGTCACTGGTACGGTTGTTCCGTATTTTTTAGTACAATAATTAATTTCTGCCAACACCATAACGTCACGGAAGCGTCACAGTCAAATGTAAACAAAGCATATTCATCTTTCTGGCACCACTCCCAATCAGCTGTTTTCAACACCTGTCAAACGAACGCATCATTTCACGAACACCTCCAAACGGGCTATCTCTCCTCACGAATACTAACTCAGATTTTTGACAGATCCACTGTGCAAACAACACCCGTGGGTAGTTTTTCACAAACCTTCATCACGAGCGCTGTAACACAAGAGTTGGATAGTCATTTTCAAAGTGGAAAACGCGTAATTACTCGAATATTTGCACGGAAAATCGAAATTTCCTCGTGAAAAGGATGTCCCCGGCGGCGAACAAGTGAAGTTGCGCAATTCCGCCGCAAGAAGTGTGAATTTCGTTAGTAAAAAGTGTTTTATAAAATCGTTGCTGCTGGGACACCCTCAAGTTAAAAGCTGACCAAAAGTGATTTCACCACGCGCCGCGATTGCATAAACGGTGGAGCTCGGCAGTTCGCTCACTTCTTTCGATTTTTTTTAAGACGCAGGAACGGTGCAGATTAGATAGCCGGATTAGCACGGACGTTCAGTGGAAAGATAAATAAATGCCACAGGAAGGATAATGTTGCGGGAGTTGATCGCCTGGGTGCTGAACAACTACCTCGGAAAGTATGTGGAAAATCTGAACACTGCCCAGCTGACTATTGCGCTGCTGTCTGGTAAGACATTTTTTTTATTACCTTTTAATTATTTTTTTGCATATAGGTATTAACTTTCCTCGGTCAACACTGGCAAAAGTCATGCTTATTCAATAATAATCTTAGAGGAAAGTAGTTGACTCTTTTGTTTGTACGCGTCTATCCAATGACATCATATCAAGGAATAGAGCAAATATATTGCGGCGCACATAAATCCGTAAGTCATTTGGCTCTCGGGCAAGGTGCACAATATGATGTAGACGACGTAAATCGCTTACTCACTGCTTGTCCAATGACCAATCTGTCTCGTCGTCGTGGTGGCTAATCAATTTCGACACAATCCGCACACACAGGCTACTGATAGTCTAGCCTGGCGGAGATTTTCAACCTTTCCCAATTCGCATGGTAGTCAGACCGAGTTTCACTCTTCTGTCGAAGGAAGTGAAAAGTGACGAAAATCGCTTTTCACGAACGGTAGCTAAGCTCGTTGTATCGCTTCTAGCGGCGGTGGTGATTTTGTTTTGTTTTGTTTCGATGATGGAATGGAATACATTGTGTTACGCAAAAGAGTGTGGATTACGTAATAACCTTCGCGGGCTCATCCGTGAAGCACAGAGGATATACCTACGTGAATGCAACAAAACAAATAACAAAATCCACACCCGGCTCACAGTATTGTAGAAAAGCGCAAACAATGCGAGCAATAATAATAGCAGAGCTCGAACAACAGGTGTAGACTGAAGAACAAACTAACTAGGTACGAATAACTGATTCAGCAAGGATGTGTATGGTCCGGTGCACTTTTCAGTCAAGGGTAGTGAAGGCTAGTCGTATTTGATCGTGAACGATTGTAAAGGCTTTTTCAATTATATGGATTATTGCTTATATGCTGATAATACGATAATTGGTGTTCCGTCCACGTACATTGTAGCAACTTCTTGTACGGAAGCAAAGGCAAGACCAAACTGAAATATCATTGTTAGTGAATCGCAATCAACAAAAATCGCAGGATTTATTGCTTAAAGATAATGCCTGACAACTCCGGTTGTTGAGTGGTAAGCGTAACTTCTTTCTCACCCCAGTGTGTCTGGGTTCAATCTCAACCAAGGTCGTTGGGATTTTTCTGAGTCGAAAAAAAAATCTGGTCTCGTCTTACTTCGGAAGGAAAGAAAAGCCGTTAGTCTCGGTCCAAGTGTTGATGGGTTCGATAGGCTCCAAGTGTTGAAGTTGACTCCCTGGCAGTCAATTGGGGTCGGTGATTAACCAACAATTGGTAATCGACGCTCAAGAAACTCAATGCAAAAACGGCATAACAGGAAGGCCATATAAGGCTATATGCCGTTTTCACGGCCTCATCAGCTATTACTTTCCACAAAAGTGATTTAGTGCTTTCTGGATTTTTTCCATGAAATACGGTTAAGATCTGATTCCCATCATACTTAGCACAACCCGCTCAAAAACTCTTATTTTCTAACGGGTTTGAACATAATTTGAATTGTTTCTATCGAAGAAGACTTCGACATTTATTTAATTGATTTTCTTTTTCATAAATACATAAGAATCATAAATTTATTTATTTATTATTCTCTTCACCGAACTGTTGTCTAAATGAAGATTGATGTGGAAAAGCATATTTGGCAAATATTTGCCAATTATATATAATAATATCACATATTGTCTGTGATAATATGGTCTTCATCATAAAAATTAAACTCGTCCTATTCCAACAATGGTGACGAAATGTTTCCGCTGTGCAGTTGAAGACGAAAAAAGCATAGAATTCATTGAAACGTTCAGACATGAACCGTATTGGATCATGTACTCCGTAATTAGCTGCTCGTGGTCCGAGATGCAGGAAACTCCTCGAGCTCGTCCAGGTACATAGACTTCGAATTCAGCCAAAATCCCGGGATAGTCGATTTCGCTTATCAGCACTTTTGTTGCAAAAACTGCCTGGTTAATCTTCCACCTACGTTCAAGAGTTTCAATACCCAGGAGTTGGCAACGATCTTCGTAGGGTGGAAGGTTCTTTTGATCATTTCAACGAAGGCGGCAAAGAGCGTAACGAACGAATTTCCTCTGAATAGACTCGATCCTCGCTATCCAAACTGTTTCATACGGACACCATACTACTACACCAAATTCCAAGATTGATCGCACTAGAAAACAGTATAGAGCTGTCAGGCAGGTAGGATCCCGAAACTCATCAGAGATCTTAAAGATGAATCAGATTTGCCTGTTAGCTTTGACTATGATATCCGTGTAATGTAGCTTAAAGCTGGGTTTAGACTAGGCAAGTTTAATGATTAACTCAGTTGAATTCAATTGGCTTAAAAAGTTGAGCCTGGTTCAACGTTTTTCAATTCAAGTGAGTTGATCAAGTCAGTTGAATGGCATGGTTTACACGTTCAATTCGCGTTCAAGTCAGTTGAATTCAACTGACTTGATCAATTGACTTGCCCTGTCTAAAGCCAGCTTAAATGTCAAAGCAGAATCAAGTGAAATTCGTAGTCTCGAACGTTGTCTACACGCTGCAGAGGTTGGTTATTGATCGTATAATTGAATGTAATAGGTTTTAGCTTGCGATGGTAAGTGACGATATTGCATTTTTGAACACTCAACGTGAGAAAATTCCGGTGCTGCAACCGCAAGCAATCAGTGAAGCATCGCACAACCACGTGCATCTTGACATCGTCTGCATAGAAGGCATTGAATGGCCGGCAGCCAGTTGCAAGTATCAAACCGATTTCGTTAGTGAATATTGAGAAAAGCAGCGGTCTCTACTTGCTGCTTTAATCCGATTGATCAGAACCGATTTTCTCACAAAGCTCTCGATTGATAAGATACGATTCAAACCAACGAATGAGTCCATGAGAGACAGCGAGCTTCTCGAGTTTGGCAAATAGAATGGCATGATCAACCCGGTCGAAAGCAGCCTTGAGATCCGTGTATACGACGTCCACCTGTGCTCCTGCTTCCATATTCCGTAGGCATAGGGAAATGAGAGGAGCGAGTTTTGTTAAGACCGAACGTTTGGGGTGGAAACCATCCCGTAACCTCACTTTTTACCCGTGTACCAACATTCAAAACCAGATTTAATACCATATTCATACTCGAATCGGTTGAAAAATACCCTTAATCTTCTAGTTTACTCGATATCTATCCAATGCAAGCAATATTTTGATAATTGTTTATGTTTTGAGAGTTGGTGCACAGGTAGATTGAGATTAAGGAAACGCCACTGCATGTTGGTCAAAATGTAGTTTCTATAGCTGGCAAATAAAGTGTCGCTGATGATTATCTCCAATAGTTTCGAGCAGGCACAAAGTGAAGTAATTCCTCTGTAATTCTCGACATTTCGCTTGTCTCCTCGAAAGAAGATTTGCAACGGGAAAGAAATACACCTAGTTGTATTTGTTTTTTTTTTCAAATATTGAACAGCTTCGAAAGCGGGGAGGAAAGCCCTGTTGAGCATCTTTTGAGTATGGACGATGGAATGCTGTCAGGCCCAACAGCGTTTGCAAATTTCAGCTTCTGGATGGCAGAGTCGACGAGGTCCAATATGACCGAAAAAAATATCAAATCTGAACGCGTCACTGGGAGGAGCTCTGATCCCTTCAGCAACTTGGGTTAACGAGATGTCGTCGAGTCGTTGAAAACACTATTGAAATGCTCTGTTACATTTTTATAAAGAAGTGTTGACTTTTTTATCGCTTGTATGAATCTCAAACGGTAGCCCATCCTCTATCCTTTTTGTATTCACAAACGTCCAGAATAGCTTAGGATTACGCCGGAGATTGGTCTGCATACGTCTTGAGTACTTTTTGTATTGGATACGGTTGTACATTCGATAGCCATTACTTGCTAACGAAAATAATCGCTTGGTGAATGGATTACGGGACTGGATGTATTCGATCTCACACGCTTCAAGTGTCGTAATCGAGCATTAGACCATGCAGGTTTTGGAGCAGATCTCCTCAGAGGCCCACAATCCATTATAAATCGGCTCACAACTTCGTTGAAGTAGTTAACGACTTCATCAATGGACGAACACAAGTCAAGCGACTGCCAATCTACCTGGGCTAGTGAGTGGTTCAATGCAACGAAGTTAATTCTACGAAAGTCCAGGCTTTGTACATCAACGGTGTCGTCATAGAGAATAGGAGCTGATCGATTGATGAATGCTTCCAACGCTGGATGATTGTCGTCTAATGTATCAGAGGCTCGGATGCCTCGGCGACTGCACTCTAGTGCGGTGACTTCGTTCACCAGCACAGGATCAAGCAGCCGAGAGTTTATGTTTGGTACAGAATTAATTTGCATTGGAAATATTCCAAACAAGCCCATACTGGTTGTAGTCGCCAAATAGCAGAGCTAGGTTGTTGTGCTGTAATCGGGACAATACGGCACCAATGGAAATGGTATGGTTCTCAACGCAGCTCAAATTAGATTTACGGTCAGGTGGAAGGTACATAACGCCGATGCTTACAATGTTGTGTGATGTCGTACTCTTCACCCATAACTGCTCAAGAGAAGTGCTGACCGGAGCAGGATCGAGGCAGCAGTTCAGTCGTTTGGAGACGGCAATCAAGACGCCACCCCCACATGATTTGGCATTGTTCATCCGGTTACGGTCAGTGCGAAAAACTGAGAACATACTGCCGAATAATATAATATTATATTGTGCTGAGTCATTCCGTATCGAGCGCTAAGCCAGTTAACAGCGTCCTGGTCTCTTCATACGACACTCGTTTTTTACCGCGTTTCCATCGCTATCGTTGTAGAAAAAAAGTGTTCAGGTGAATCGCGCACAGTTTTCGGAAGCAGCTATCGTAAGCTGAGTCTTACGTATAGACTGTTCACCTTTACCCCAGTGATCGATCATCATCAAATCATCACCATCATCATCGCATCATCTCCGTCAATAGCCGCAGCGTAGCAGCAGCAAACGGAATACCTAGCTGCACCGGCTGATAGGTTGTTTACACAACCGGCATAAGTATAGTACAATACATTTTGCA